GGCTGAGCAAGGTGATGAGATTAGCCTCGAGTATGCTGGGACTCATGCCCTCAAAGGGGACTTGGTTAGGTAAAATAAATTATACTGTATTGCAATCCCAAGTCCAAATGTTCTTTTTTTTTTTTTTTTTACACATTTTGAGATAATTGATGCAGGTACGGAAAACAAACAATAGGTGGAATAATCAAAGATGGCATGAGTGCACTTGCACGATATTACCAAAATAATTTTCATGATGGGATTCGGCAGGCAAGTTTATCAATATCTTCAATTATTTTCCTGAGTTAATTGAAGACCACTCAACCCCACTAAGTTTCTGGTCTTCCGCAGGATGCTCTGGATCTGATAAGTGGACGCTATACTGTCAGTAGAAACAATCCTTCTCCCTTCCAGCTGAATGGCTTTGAGTCCATCTCTGTAAGTAACACGTGGTCTGTAGCTTTGGGGCAAATTCTAAGGTGCATCATATACCTAGTACGATGCCTTGTTGGTAGGTTCATCAACTGTCATAAGCAAAATCCAGCGATCAATAGGCCTGCCATTAAGGCGAGGTACTCAAGCACTTAAAGCACAGTAGACTTCACCTTATGTGGCTGTTTTCTATTGTCCTTGTCCTGAAAATGACAAGTAATGAGAAACTACCTGTTATCGGGTGATTTATGCACTAATAGATCTTGTCATTTCCTTGAGACAACCTTGTATAGTAAAATGTCCTAATAGAATAATGTGAGAGGTGCCCACTTGGCCAAGGAACCAGTTCTATTTTGATGAAATTAAGAAAGTCGATCCGTTGTGCATCTAGCATAATTTTTGCCTTGGAGATATTGGGAGCAAGCATGGCATGCCTAAATTCAACCATGTGAGAAAAGAATTTCCAAATGGGCAAGACTTACAAGATCTATACGAACTTCATTAGCTGTTTATTACAAGGTTTTCTAATAAAAATATAGCATGTGAACCTCTTTCTTTCTTTTCAACTATCATGTTGACTGCTTGAAGAAAACTTCTCCACGCGTCATAAACTCAGAAAACCTGGTGGCTAACTCCTAAAACTAATCCTACGTGTATGATTAGTTGGTTATGGGTGTGGACAAAGATAACTATTACACCTCATCTTTTAAGATTACTTGTAGAGCGAATTATCATTGGTATTGACATGTTCTGTGGCCAACTAAAACACGCAGTATCTCCCAGTGGCATCAGCTTTATTACTAGGGGGTTTGACGATAACAACCTTCACAGTTCAACAAGGTATGCAGTTCTTTGTCAAATTCAATATTATTAGGTCAAATTCAAACATTATCAGAGCCAATTGGGCACATTACTCCCAACGTGATTGGCTTGGTCTAACTACTGTTGGTATCTAGCTAAATATTTTGAAACTTGTCTCTCTTTTACCTCACTACCTTGGCTTTGGCACTACTATTAGGGCACGGGATGATGTTAGACACTGAGAAAATCCCGCGAATCTTCTTTGGAAGTATATAATTAAGCTTAATACTATCTCTTGACTAAAATTATATGGCATTAGGTTTATGAAATTTTTTCCACTCATATACTCTTCCTTCATCTTAATTTTATTTATTGTGAGATTTTCCCTTACTATTTTTCTCACACTTGATCCCAATAATTTTAGCACTCCCATGGGTAAGAAGGGCCAGAAAACAGTTGAATGATGACTAAACTACAAACTATGCAAAGCTTAGATGGCACGCTCTGAACTACAAGGAATTAATTGTAATGAACCATTTTGTTGCCAAAGGCCTTGCAGTCTAATGGCATGAATGCTTTTCTATAAGTGAGAGGTCCTAGCTTATAGGTTTGATCACACTTATAACCTTAGACTGTTAGTGTTAGTGTCTGCTCTTTTGATCCAAAAAAAACAAACCCTTGTGTTTATTGTATTATTATGCTTTATAATTTTACCATATAAACTACTACTTACGGTCTTAAATATAAAAGCTAGTTGACTAATTTGAGTAGATTAAGAAAAAAAGTTAAATTAGTTAATAAATAGATATTGTCTTTTCTAAAGTATCCTTACTAATCAAGTTTATTGGTTAGAACTACCATTATTAGAAGGACTATCTTGGAAAAAAAATAGATAAATATGAGAGACAAAATGGATCGGGGTCTTATATTTATGACTAAAAGAAAAGTCAAAGGAGGTGTTATATTAAAGACCAAAGGTAGTAAATGTGTTGATATTTCTTATTTGTTTTGTAGCTGGCCGAAATATGCAGCATTATTGGTCTTCTATACTGTGTGCTGGAGTTACAGCAGGAGTTATGGCCGTTATCAAAGCCAATGGCAGACAGTTCTGTTCAAGGCCCCGTTTGTGTGGTCTCCTGTGATAATATTTATTTGTTTAAGGAATCACCAGCCATTTGTATTAACTCTGCTCTGGATCATCCTAGAGCTTGTATATAGAATTCATGTGTTTACAAATGCTGAAAGTTAATTAAAATTTGTTAGGTAGGCTGTTGTCTAAATTAAATCAATCTTATAAAAATTTGTCACAGGTGAGTCATATTAATATCATACTCATATAATCATTTATGACTAAACTGATTGGAGTTATGGATTTCATGTTGGCTGAGATCAACAAGACTTTTTATCTGATACTTTCTATTTTTGAGAACGAACAGAAAATTAAACCACATAGTTTAATATATGTAAGACTCATTGTATACTCATTATTATTCAATGGTAATTTTTTATTTGAGGTATAAAGTACATTTCATAATTACAGACATATTAATATTTTGTTTTATTCTATTATACGTACTAAACAAATCTTAAAATTATTTAATGACCAAAATTAATCAAGAACATTTTATAGGGTGATGTCATAAGAGACGATTTTTTTTTAAACTAAAAGAATCATGCATACATTATATTTTTATTTAAAATTTTATGTAAAATTTGGTTCCATGGTTAAGAAATGAGTCCAAGTGGTTGCTGGAGTTTTAATTTCAACTCTTGCATGTGTAGTAAATTTAATAGAGAGGAGCCTATTCTATGTTCACAACCTAAGGAAGATTAGCCTCTATTGTTAGAATAAAATATTTCTAATTTTACTTAAAATAAGATAATACTCCTTTTGTCTATTTATAAGGTATTTCAATATATTTCACATAGGCTAAGAAAAACTTAAATTGTATTAACTCTCTGTTAAAATATAATAACTTTCCAGTTTATCCTTATTTAATATATAGACTTTTTTAAAAAAATAACCGTTTACATTATAATAAATAAAGGATAAAACAGTACATTCATGAAAACTTTAATGAAATGACTTATAAATAGGATAAAAAAAATTCTCTCTTTACCCTATAAATAGAACCAGAGGAGTACTTATTATGTCAATTTTTTTTGATCATGCATATGTGTGATTAAAGAACTTGAGATAATGGCTTATGGTCTTTTTCTTTCCTTTTTTTTTGGGAAGTTCTGTTATATCAAAAAATAAAAAATCGACATGATAAATATAAAAAAATAAATATTTAAGCTTATATATTTATTGTGCATTTTTCTGATCAAAATGAGCATTGGATTTTCGACCCATTAATTATCTTTGTAACTAACTCTTATTATTAATAATTTTAATATAATATTGAGTTTAAAATCCACTTATTTTGACATAATTAAAAATAAGAGAAATCGCAAAAAAATCCTAAAATTTGAAAAATGTAAATAAAGACCTGTGACAACTTCACTATGGGTTTTAATAACTTTATGATATATTATTATTGTCAAAAGCTATAAAAAAGTTATCAAGGATCTCTATCTGTATTTTTCAAATTCTAGGATCTTTAATTGCAATTTTCTCTTAAAAATAAGTATAATAAATATATAATTTTAGCTACACAAGCTTTTTGTTTTTTTTAAAAAACTTAACAGGGGCAGTTGCGTTATTTTTTAAGCTTGCATGAAGTAGGTAAGGAGTCTAACACCAAGTACAGGCACCACGTTGTGAAGAGCCAATCTATTATATGTATTGATATGGACAAAATGACTAGGCATTGGATTGAAATAGTCATCTCATCTCATTCTTTCTTCACAAAACATTCAAACAAAATAAAAGAAAACCAACTAACTTATTGTGCTTTGTATGTATTCAACCAAGAATTGGTACAATTTTAGCTTAGATTCTCTTCAAATCCACTACTAGACAGAATTAGATCAAACCTCGTCAAAGTTGACTCACTAAATAAATTAAAATATTATTCCAATTTCTTTTAGGACAATATTGAGGTTAAGTTAGTTATATTTATTATATTAAGTTTTCCAATTACATATTATGTGTCTTGTTTTTTAAATATTATCATTAAAATATAAATTCATATAAAAAAAAGGACACATGATTATATGTAATCAAAAAATTTGATATAATAAACATAAAAAACTTGACACAAGTATAGTACTTTTTTTAAAATTTCACTAAATCATATTGAATATTTTTTTTAAAAAAAGTATACCTAATAAACCTTGATGTATTTTCCACCCATAAAATTATTTTACACATATCTGAGAGGGAGGATTTTGTAACAGAGTATTTAGCAAAATTTAATGATAGCCAACAATTATAGTATGAGAGGATTTTTCATATAACTAAAAAAATGAAAAAGCTGCCATGTGTTAATATAATATCACCATAATGTTTAGGCACCTTTAGGTGAAAATCTGAGAGGAGTGGTTTGCCAATTAATATAGGCTCTTGGTGATTAGTAATTTTAAGATTTTTTAACATGAAAAGTTAAGTATGTTAAATTTTTTAACAAATTACTACTCTAATTTTTAATAAAAGAATTAGTTGACTAATTTAAATAGATTAATAATATTTATTAATTTAATTATATATAATAAATATGTATTGTTTTTTTAAAAAATATTCTTGTCAAAATTTTCTGTAATTTTAACCAAGACAGTACTTTATTTCTTGGTACCAGCAAGCGGGATTGCCAACGAATCCAAACTGAACTCTAGATACAAACAATCGTGGCCAGCCGGAAACATAATATTGAAGATTCTCAACTCTCAAATAGCAATTCCATTGACTTTACTTTCTTCCAAAGAGAAAAAGATAAAAGAAGATTACATTCCGATGAAGCAAACAAGCATTGGAATGATCACTTCCTCTTTGTAAATTCTGAAATCATCAAAAGAATTTCAAACTTCTGAAGCTCAGCCATCGTCATGTTTGCTAAGCGTCTCTTGCAGAAGGCCGTGCACCATTCTCATGTATAGACTCTAATTGCTTCCGACCATTTTGCTCACCACCCCCCCCCCCCAAAAAAAAAAAGAGTCTAACTTTATTTCTTCCAAATCAGCTAGGGCTGGAGTTTGATGTGAACCATATTTTTGGTCATCCTTTGATTGGATATATGCCTTGCTGGGCTTACTTTCCTATTTTGATTGTTTTAAGCTGAAGATTGTGATTGACTATGTGCACATTTTGATTTCTGATTGTTCAGCATGACTTGCAAAACGGGAGTCTGAAGTCTAGTGACTTGGATCCTGCAATTGTTATTCATTATGGAATTCCTTCCACAGCTTCGGTTCTGGCTTTTGACCCCGTTCAGCGACTTCTGGGTATCGGGACACTGTAAGTATATTGGCTGTTAAATTTTGGGTGAACCTGTTAAGATGCAAGGTAAATTTCCTGACTTTTAAAATTGAAAGTCGAATCTCCGTTATTAGTAATTGCATGGAAAATGAAGTTATTCATGGACATTGTAGTGTTAGAAGGTTGAGAAATGATCGTTAATCTGGGGCTTTTGTGTTTGCACATGGTGAAATGCCCATCGTGAGTGTTGAGTCTCCTAAGACTTCTGAATATGTTTCTTTTTTTTCTTTTTTTTTGAAGTTTTTATATAGGTGTTGTTGTTGATAAACTACAACGACGTTGTACGATATTTGTGGTCAACCTCACTTAGTGGGATAAGAATTGTTGTAGTTGTTATATTTGTAGTGTTCGAGCTGGGGTCCTTTTTTTCTTTTTTCTTCGCCCTGGTTGATACCTGATGTACAAGTATCTATCATCATTCTTATGGTTTTAGTCAAGAAATGGTCATGTGACATTCGGTTTCTGGCCCAAAAGAAAAAGAAATGGTCATTTCGTGATTATAAGGCAACATCTGTTTCTTGATAGTATATTTATAAAAAGTTTGACTGAGCATAATATTTGTGCATTAGTGAATGGGTGAAGTCCTTTGCTAATTTTCTATAATGTAAGACATAATTGTAAGTTATTGTGCTCATGTATGCAATTGCAAAGTAACAGTTTGAGGTCTTGGTGCAACGTTAATGTTGGACCTTTATTTTGCTTTGCTTAATGACAGGGATGGAAGACTTAAGGTAATTGGAGGTGACAACATTGAAGGACTTCTTGTATCTCTTAAGCAAGTGCCTTATAAACACTTGGAGGTAGGTGCCTGGAATTGATACACTGTTGGCTCGAGATTGCTTATATGATTTCCTTTTGGAAAAGTCGGGCTTTAATGTGCTATAACAATAATGCTATCATACATCAGTGGAATTCATTGCTTCTTTTTAAAATCCCAAGACCAAGAGCACTGTCTTCTCTTTTCATTGCTTTTTCCTTCCAACAAAATTTGAAAGATCTGACTCCAATTAATTGTTCTTAAAGAAGACGTAACATATTGCACTCTTCATTCGCTCTTCTTATCTCCTAGATCTCCATTTTGTTTCCTCAGTGTACTGCAAATTAGAGAAGTTCAATAACCCTGCATGAATTGTTGGGTATCATGCTCCTGGTTTTTCTCTACTAAGGTTCATCTATAGGTTCTGTTAGCCTTGAAAAGAAATATCTTACTACCCCAAAAAAAGTGGGGGAAGGTAATATGTTATAGAATGAAGTGTGGGTATTATGCTCTGCCCCAAAAAAAATGTGGGTATTATGATCTACCCCCCCCCCCAAAAAAAAGTGTGGGTATTATGAAGGGAAATTTTGAATTAATGTATAGTGCTTTATTCTTTCACTGTTACCTATCTGATCTTTTGATGATTTCTCCTACATTACCAGCTGATTGATGCTTGGATTTTATTTGGCACCTGCAGTTTCTACAAAACTTGGGCTTTCTAGTCAGTGTATCCAATGATAATGATATCCAGGTCAAGTTTCTTTGCCCAGAATTTAATTTCTCTACATATTAGTACAACCTTATTGAAAAGGCTCTATTCAGCAATAAAAGATATTCGAAATTGTAACATCTGTTGCCTCTTCTATTCTCTTTCTATCCCACTAGATATTACTTTTGCATTTTTTCTGGAGCCAATTACACTCAGATATATCTTTTGATATAACTGAGTCGAGTGGATGATTGCTTTTTAATTTATTGATGATGAATTTTGAAATAATTTGTATGCATGAGTAGTGTTATGAGAGAATTTAGTATATTTGCTTGTCCTTGATGATTGATGCGATGGTCAGCTGATTGATTTTGATTTCCTTTCTCATAATTAATACTATTGTTCAGAGTGTTTGCTAAATTCCATACATAGATAACAGCTTGTCCTTAACCAGTCAAGCTAAACAACTCCTAAACGGTGCTGATTTATTTTGTTAAGAGACCACTGCTGATTTATTCTAGAAGGAGGACGTGTCAGAAAATAAAATAAAATTTTCTTTTAGGATTTTATTGAATTTGTTTGAATTGGAGTTGTTGCTGAGTCAAATTTAGAGAGAAAAATAAGGAACATCAAGGCTATTAGATGCATTCAGTTTCAGATTTTCTGGGGATTTTTCCAGACCTTGTTTAATTATTTCATTGTTTTTCTGACTCTATAAATTGGGTGGCAGCCTCTGAAGCTAGTCATTGAGAAATAAAAGTTCAGCTTTCCCCATTTTGGATATTCTCCTACAGTTTTTGGCTATTAAGAACTCTTAATAGATTTATCTTTCTTTTATTTAGCTAAGTGTGTACTCCCCATATTTTCTGAACCAATGATTCTGCAAAATCACTGATGAAGTATATCTGATTAGTTTCCTTCAATTGCGGCAGGTTTGGAGTCTTGAGAGCAGGAGTCTTGTTTGTTCTTTACAATGGGAGTCCAATATTACTGCTTTCTCTGTTATCAGTGGCTCACATTTTATGTATGTTGTTGGTATAATAAAATAAACATGGCATAATTTCCCTCTTTACATGGTCCTTGATTTATGTCATCAGTAATGCATTCCCATGTCCAGTTATGTTGGTGATGAGCATGGTTTGGTCTCTCTGGTAAAGTTTGAAGCTGAGGAAGGAGAAATCTCAAGGTCACCATATCATGTGTCTGCAAAATCTCTTAGGGGTAATCTATTGCTGCCCTTCGTTTTGATCACTGATAACCAATGCATTTGCAAATTGTTTCTGCAAAGCTGTTCAAACTATGTGGCAGTGCTTCTTTTCAAATTGTTTGTTGTGAACTCTGAAATAATATTTTTGTTTTCTTCATCCAAATTATTTTAAGTTTATGGAAAAAGAATGAGGTGTGTGGGAGTAGCATAATTAGTAAACATAAGTTGGGCGTTCCTATTTTATCAGCCTCCCTCCTGAAAGGGGGAAAATTCGAGTTTAGGACTCGAAGCATCTCTCTTTTTGGTTATCAACCAGTTTTTTCTCAAACCAACGTGCTTTCATGTGATTGTACGTTTCCCTGTTGTCGCCTCTTAAATTCATTGTGGCCTCACTCCACTTCAGCAACTCGTATTGCTCATTGTATTGCTCTCCTCTTTGATGCAATTTTTGGTCTTCTGTTCATCTTTCAAACTTATCAGTGGATTCGGGTTGGAATTAAACTAGGGAATTGATGATATTAGTAAAGGCAGATTGAATGGAATTGTTTTAGGCATCTAGGAACTGTGAAATCTGATCCTGAATTTGAATTATATTTTGTATGATGATGGAAAGAACTGGTAAACAGGTAGACATTTTAAATACTTCATTCTTGTTTTTATAATGCTTATGGATACTTACTTTTGCTTTCGCCTGAGCATGAACTGGACCTTTTCCAATACTTACAATGTGGACCTTGAATGGACCTGAACCTAGACCAAATAGTTTTACAAGAACCGACTAATCAGTGTCACCATCCTATTCATATTGTTGTGGAAATTCTAGTTGTCTTTTTGAGAGCTGAAAATCAAATAGGTCTTAAATACTCTTGTATACTAAAAAATATATTATGGTTTTTCTTGGACTTTATTCCAGGTGTAGGTCTTGAAATTTGACGCTGTTGACTGTCAATGTAATGCTTCCATATAATTGAACAAAATGTGTTAGGTGGAAAAATAAATTAGTTTGATGTGACTAAGCTTTATCAAAGAGTCCCTTGCAAATGTTTACATGATATTTCAACTAACACAAGCATCACAGAGCACCGCATGATGCCTAGAACTCATATTCTCAGTTAAAAAGTGATGAATGCAATCAGTGGGCCGTTAATAAGTCCCACTCTGTAAAATCATTTGAAGTACATGCATAGAATGCTATAATGTTTCCCTAAATGCCTCGGAGGACTCTTATACATCTTTGCTGGTTGTCAGAAGAGTAATTAGTGCTGTTTACGAAACTGCATTCTTCGATGATATGCTCAGAAAAAATTGTGCTTTCTAACTTCTGATATTTCATACAGTAATCACCATAACAATGTTGTTTCCAAATTTCTTATTTTGGATGATCTTTTTCTCCATTATTCACCATCTAAGTAAAATTATTTTTCTTCCCTTTGGAAGTTTCTCATTGCCGCTGTTTTCCTTTTTGTCAGAAACTAATGGGTCTTCATATCCCAACGACCAGCCTATTGTTGGAGTTCTTTCCCAACCTTCTTCTAATGGTAACAGGCAAGATACAAGTAATATTTACCAGCTACTGTGCATAACTCTTTTGCTTCTAAGGCATAATAAAAGTTGACATTTTTGTCCTGTTGGCTAAGTGGCAATTCATTTGTATTTACCCAACCAATGCGATTAAAATTTATTTTGAAAAATTAGCTACTCAATTGTGACTTACTAGCCTGGTTTCTTGGCCAGACTTGTGGTTCACTAGTTTAACATTTTCATATTTGTAATTTTTTTTTTTTTTATTATTCGCATTTTGAATTCTTTATTAGGTTTTCAAAATAACCAGAAGAGCATTTAGATGAAATTGTAGAGCCTCCACCCAAAGAAAGCATATTATTATCAGGCCCATATTGTCTTCTCGTAAAACAGCCTTGGTACAGAGGAAAGGAGCGAGAGAAGAAAAGAGAGAGAGAATTCAAGTACTGTCTTATTTACTTCTGCAAGTGTACACGAGTGGGTATTAATAAACAACCCTCCTCACATCTGTTAACTGACAGCTAAGCGTGAGCCTACGCGGCACGTGATTACTAACTGATTCTGTTCACGTGATTACTAACTAATTTCTGTTAGCTAATTTCCCTCCCACATATCAATATGCCCCCCCATTAAAAAACATCCTTGTCCGCAAGGATAGTGCGAGAAGGTGGTACTGTTGTCGGAAAAGAAGGAAATTGAGACTGAATAAAGGAAAGGTCCTCCCAGGTTGCGTCCTCGGGTCGGGAGTGACGCCATTGAATCAGAACTTGTGTAATGGGGAGGTTTCCTCGCTTAACGATCCGCCTGTTCAAAATCGCAGTGGGTTCGACACGAAACTGACCATCATCATCGACTAATGGCAGAGTCGAGGAAACAGGGGCACCAGCGCGAGGTGAGCGTTTGAGCAGTGAGACATGGAAAACAGGGTGTATCCGAGAGCCCTCTGGTAACTTCAACTCATAAGCAACCTGCCCTACACGTTTCAGCACCTCGAAGGGACCAAAGTATCATGCGGCGAGCTTGTGCAAGGAAGAATTATTGATTAGATTTTTCCGAAAAGGGTGAAGCTTGAGTAAGACCATGTCCCCGACTTCGAAGGTGCGTTCGGTCCTGTGCTTATTAGCCTGGTGAACCATACGATGCTGGGCCTTCATCAAATTCGCTTTGAGCAGTTGAATCGTAAGTTCACGGGATAAGCAAACCCGGTCAACCATGTCGTTGTTGGAGTCCCCAGGCAAATAAGGCAAATGAAGTGGAGGTTCAACACCGTAAACAGCTTGAAATGGGGTCATACCAATGGCCGAGTGATAGTTGGTGTTATACCAGAGCTCTGCTAGAGACAACCAACGGGCCCACTGCTTGGGAAAATCCCCTGTCATACACCGAAGGTAGCATTCAAGGCATCTGTTCAGGACTTCGGTTTGTCCATCGGATTGTGGATGGTAAGCAGAAGAGTACTGCAATTTGACGCCATAGAGCCTAAACAGCTCCTGCCAAAACTTGCCACAAAAAATAGGGTCCCGATCACTCACGATGGATTTCGGGAATCCGTGAAGCTTGACGACATTGTCCATGAAGAGTTGAGCAACATCAACGGCAAGTAAATGGGTGCTTCAAGGCGATAAAATGGGCAGCCTTGCTCAAACGATCTACCACAACAAGAATGGTAGTTTTGCCGTATGACTTAGGTAACCCACCTATAAAGTCCATCGATAGCTCTGTCCAGATATGCTCCGGAATAGGCAACGGTTGAAGAAGACCCGGAGTAGCAACGGTTTCATACTTAAAACGCTGGCAGGTGTCACAATTTCGTACGAACTCGCGGACGTCCTTCTCTCTAAGCCACGCCAATAGAAAACAGAGGCAAGCCGTCGATACGTAGGGGTAACTCCTGAGTGACCTCCCACAGAATCACCATGAAAATAAGACAGGAGCTCGTCCCTGAGACGGCGATCGGCTCCTACCACGAGACGGCCCTTATGTTTGAGCACGTTGTTGGACCACGAATAGTAGCGATGTAGAGTAGGGTCACGCTCCAATTCGAGAATAATGGTTTGGAGGGCAGAGTCCGTGGTCCACGATTGGTAAACTCTACCATAGAGATCCGTGAGGGGGGCAGTAATGGCCGACACAGATGCCTCATATTGTCGGGAAAGAGCATCGGCTGCAACGTTTTCCTTACCCTTTCGATATTCGATTTCATATGAAAGCCCCCACAGCTTATTAAGCCATTTGAGTTGATCAGGGGAAACTGTTTTCTGCTCCAAGAGGTGCTTCAAGGGAAGATGATCGGTACGTATGGTAAATGTACGGCCAACTAGGTAGGATCTCCACTGCTTGACGGCGAAGATAATAGCCATTAGTTCACGTTCGTATGCCGACAGTGTGCGCTTCCTACTGCTGAGGGTCTTGCTCATAAAGGCTAGGGGATGTCCATTTTGAACTAAGACGGCGCCCATACCAAAACCGGATGCGTCAGCCTCCACGATAAATTTGTCATTGAAATTAGGCAATGCCAAAACCGGGGCCGAGGTAAGAGCTTGTTTAAGTACTGAGAAGGCATGGTCAGCCTCGGAAGTCCATTCAAGTCTGGTGTCCTTGTGTAATAACGCTGTCAGGGGCTGGCAAATGGTGCCAAAATGCCGTACAAACCGTCGATAATACCCTGCCAACCCGAGGAATGCTCGTAAGGCCTTTAGCGTTGTCGGAACCGGCCAAGAGGAAATGGCGTCAATTTTCTTGGGGTCAGCTTCAACCCCCCTTGCTGAAATAATATGGCCCAGATAATGCACTTGATTAGTTCCAAAGACACACTTACTGGCGTTTGCATACAGTTGATGGTGACGCAAAACAGAGAGAGTTTGAGTCAGATGTTGCATATGGTCATCCCATGATTTGCTGTATACCAATATATCGTCGAAAAAAACGAGGATGAACCTACGTAGATAGTCCTTAAAGACCGAATTCATTAGGCCTTGGAACGTTGCCGGGGCGTTACTGAGGCCGAAGGGCATAACTAAGAACTCGTATAAACCTTCGTGGGTACGGAAGGCTGTCTTATGAACATCGTTTGGGTGCATTCGAATTTGATGGTATCCTGCGCGTAAATCCAGCTTTGAAAAATAAGAGGCCCCTTGCAGTTCATTCAACAAATCTTCAATGAGAGGGATTGGAAATTTGTCCTTGACAGTCTCTTCATTCAAGCGCCGGTAATCAACGCAAAAACGCCACGTGCCGTCCTTTTTGTGAACCAGTACTACCGGAGCAGCAAACGGGCTATGGCTCTGGCGAATAACTCCAGTGCGCAACATTTGCTGTACTTGTCGCTCAATCTCATCCTTTTGTACAGGGCCGTATCGATAAGGACGACAACTAATAGGACGCGACTGTTTGAGATGTATCTGGTGGTCAAAGGGGCGTGATGGTGGTAAGGCTTGGGGTTCAGCGAACACATCTGCAAAGGAGTCTAGCAACTGTGATAAACACTGCTGCTGATCAGCAGGAAGAGGCCCGGCGTTCAAACTGAAGGCACAAGGTTCAGACAGGGAAACCCAGAGAAGAAATACATGTTGGGCCTTGCGAATATCATTATCGGCAATAGTTACCTCAGACAACCCACTTGAGATGACCCAATTCCGTGTAATTCGTGATATTGACCCTGAAGAGAGAAGGCCATAAACTGTTGGTCCATGTCCAGTATTATGCGGCCCAGCTTACGAAGCCACTGTGCTCCAAGAATTACATCGAATGCCCCTATATCCATCACCAAGAAGTCATCAGAGAATGTTGATCCCGCCATAATCCATTGAAGGTTTTTGCAGTATCGGTCAATAACCATGGTCCCGCCGCCAGCAACTCCCACCCTGAGGCCGTCACCATGCTGAACGGGTAATCGTAGTCGCTTCGCCAGTGATGAATGCACCACATTGTGAGTGCTTCCCGTATCAATCAAGATCAACAGTCTCTGCTTCTTAATGCCTCCCCTAATTTTAACGTCGAGTAACCCGTCACCCCTTCCAGTGCATTAATCGTGGCCTGAGGTGTGGGTGAAAGGTCGAGCGAATCCAGCGTCTCTACTGCATCAACAAAATCATCATCATCAGTATTCTGAACAATAAGCATCATTACCCGAGACTCCTTGCATTTATGAGAACTGCTGTATTTATCGTTGCACCAGTAGCAGAGTCCCTTTCGACGTTTGTCTTCCATCTCTTTTTTTGAGAGGGACAGAGTAGGACGCTTGTTGTTTTGCACTGATGAAGAGCCCACTATACTCTGGGCAGTAGATCCTGCGGCCTTCGAACCGTGAGACGCAGAGTTTCGGCCTGAGAAGCAGTGGATGAATAAGTCGATGAAGGCGAAGAACGATAATACGGTTGAGGTACATTCTCATAGAGAGCTCGTAAGGAACGCTCCTGTATGCGCGCCATCTTCATCATTCTTGCTAGGCTCGTTGGCTTAAAGGCATCTACGGACGATTGAATGTCCGGTCATAACCCACCGAGGAAGCAATCCATCGCGACTTCTTCGGGAATATCAGTTTCAGTCAATAAATCATCGAAGGTTTCAATGTATTCGTCAACAGTGGACGATAGCTGTTGCAGTTGCTTGATTTGCACCATCGGATTGATGTGCTTGATCTCAGAAAAACGAGCTTGCATCTCTTTAAAATATTGATCCCATGAGATCTCCTCCTCGCTGCGCTTCCTCATGAAATTAAGGTGCCATTTCAATGCCTTGCCCTCAAGGTTGATACTCAAGAGGCGAATTCGCTGTTCCACTGGTGTTTCATCGACAGAGAAAAATTGGTGGCAGCGGTAGGCCCAACCTCGAAAATCTTCACCATCGAAACGAGGAAATTCGACTCGCGTATGCCTCATAGGTGCCGAGTAAGAGTGTGTCGTGTTGTTGAATGTGCCGAACTGAACATTACGGTTCCGCTGGAAGTTACTGGTTGATCCACCAGCCTGTTCGCTCTGACCGTGATGTAATAAGCTAGAGATTGCATTGGTTAACTCTTGGAGGTTCGCATCAATTCGACCCACCACTTGTTTCAGTTCGCCGATATCAGATGAATGGGCTCCCAACAGGGCCGTTGTGACCTCCAAACGTTGCTCTAGTTCCCCAATCCGTTCGGACGATCGTGTCTCCGGCGGTGCCATGGCTGGAGAGAGAGAGGCTCTGATACCAGAATTGGTACAGAGGAAAGGAGCGAGAGAAGAAAAGAGAGAGAGAATTCAAGTACTGTCTTATTTACTTCTGCAAGTGTACACGAGTGGGTATTAATAAACAACCCTCCTCACATCTGTTAACTGACAGCTAAGCGTGAGCCTACGCGGCACGTGATTACTAACTGATTCTGTTCACGTGATTACTAACTAATTTCTGTTAGCTAATTTCCCTCCCACATATCAAGCCTTATATTATTGGATTAGCGGCATGTATTTTTCTGTCATATTGGTAGCCAAGTATTGGGGCTTCTGGTAAAGAGAGGATGAAAATATATCAATTTTGTGAAGAGTGTTTCTGGAATTATGCCAGACGCTAGGACAATATCTGACTTTTTTTCGTTGTTTTTCAAGAGTCAAGACTGGAAGAATATATGGTCGTTGCACGGAAATTATGTAACATAAAGGGATGGCACTTGAGATATTCCCTCCGGTTCAAAATATTAGCTTCAAATAATTAAATCATGCAAATTCAAAAAGTTTGTTAAAATTAGTTAAAAATAATAGATATGTAAAAAAAATGCAACTTATTTTCCTAAAACACCCTTACTTATGGAGATGATGAGTGGAAAAAAGATATGAGACAGACATGTAATTAATTAGGGGTAAAAATGGAAAAAATACATTAGCTGATCAAACAAATCCAAACTAAAGCTTATAAAAAAAACCAGACCCCTTCAAAGATTTGAAACTTATATTTTGAGCCGAAGGGAGTACCACTCTAAACTTTTTCTTTTCCCAATTTAAATATCAGATGGCGACTTAAGATGTTATTCATAAAACTAGAGTTTTCCTTGTTTAATGTGCATGATAAATAATAACTTGATGCAAATTTTTTGACGGAAGAATTTATTGATTTGAACAAACCTTTGGGCAAGAAATTCAAAATTCACTCCAGTAGTCAAAAACATTAGAGAAGAGACAGAAACAACAATGCAAACAAGAGAACAAAGAGAGGCATCGAACACAATGTGAGCCACACTGTTTATGTGGCTTGTGAATAATAAATTATCAAGAGAAATTGCACTGTTCAGAACTTATGAACACTGCAATAATTGCACTGTTCAGAAGTCATGAATAATGCAATATGTTGGATTTTTATATTTTAAGTTGATGATATGACTTTGGCTCTAGTGATGACTCTGCTGAAACTTCTACCTTGTCATTTTTTCACATCTACTATTTTAATAACATGCTAGATGTACTCATCTGATTTGCGAAAGTTGAGAGGCATGAAATGTATTTGTCGTTTTCAATTCAATGAATTATGGCTTCTGATTTTTTTTTAATTTTTTATTTTTCGCAGATTGTTAATTGCATTTCAGGATGGGCTGCTTATTCTTTGGGATATTTCAGAGGCTCGAATCCTGTTTCTTGGTGGTGGCAAGGATCTCCAACTGAAGGATGAAAGTAGTAATTCTTCTACTGATATGGACGCCAAACTTCCAGCTAATACTGCAGAACAAGAAATGGGAGATAAAGAGATAAGTGCTCTCTGCTGGGCGTCTACCAGGGGGTCCATTCTTGCAGTGGGATACATAGATGGAGATATCCTTTTCTGGAACTTGTCATCTGCAGCCTCTCCAAAAGCCCAGCAGACTGTATCGTCAAAAAATGTCGTTAAGTTACAACTTTCATCTGCAGAAAGACGACTCCCAGTCATTGTCTTAAAATGGTCTAACAGCCATAAGTCTCACAGTGATTGCGCTGGACAGCTTTTTGTCTATGGTGGTGATGAAATTGGATCTGAAGAAGTTTTGACCGTGAGTTGTTTGTTTCTGACCATTTAGAACACTGTTTCAGATTAACTTGTATTGCTTCTATTGATTTTTATATTTTGGGAATTTAGTGTGTGGTTGCTTTGGTATTTGGATATCATATTATTAGTGGGATTGATATCTTCCTACTTTGAAATTGGATTTGACTACATGTCTTAGTTGAATTAAGGTTGTTTGAGTCTCCGATAGATGCATATTATCTTAGGAACCTGACTTTTTATAATTGAATATGGACGAGATTATCAAGTGCTTTTGAGATTGTTCGTTGGTGCATTGACTCTGTTATGGGATTGTTAGTCCCTTGTCATGGCCATTGACTGGGGGACGCTCCTATGGAAGTGTCTTTTCACATTGTTTGTAGCAGTTCCTAAACTCTGAAGCAACTCCTCACTGCAGGTTTTAACTCTTGAATGGTCATCTGGGATGGAGACTGTAAAATGTATTGGCCGTGCAGATCTTACACTTAATGGCTCCTTTGCAGACATGATTTTACTGCCAAATCCTGGAGGAATGGGGCTTAACAGTAAAGATGATCTTTTCGTTCTGACAAACCCTGGGCAACTGCATTTTTATGATAATGATAGTCTCTCTGCTTTAATATCACAGCAGAAGATGGCATCATCTGTATCTGCTCTGGAATTTCCAGTTGTAATACCTACAGTTGATCCTTCTATGACTGTTGCAAAGCTAATAAGGTTGCCCACTGGGTTAAATTCTTCAAAACTTCTGTTAGAGGTATTTTGGTTCTATATGCTAGTATTTCATTATTGTCAAGCCTGGAAGCTGAACTCTGTCCTTTTCTGTCCTTTTCTTTTTATTCTACTATTATGGTTTGTCTTAGGTAGCTGCAAGTATGAAAACTGGCTCAACGCCTGATTCAGCTACTCGTTCTAAATGGCCCATCACTGGGGGTGTTCCCAGCCAGTTGTCTAGGGCTAAAAATACTGGGGTTGAGAGAGTTTATTTAGCAGGCTATTCTGATGGATCAGTCTGGATGTGTGATGCCACGCATCCAATCTTATCATATATATGTTACGTAGAGGGAGAGGTAAGAACTGCACAATATTTATCTTGGAAAAAGAGAAGTTACCTATATTATCCTTTTGTTGCTACTCAAATCAAATAGGGTCTATATCTGATTGTACTCACAAGTCTCCTCTCTATAGGTGCCTGGTATAAAAGTGGCTGGCTCAAGTGCACCAGTGACAAAGTTGGACTTCTGCTCTGTTTCCTTACGATTGGCTGTTGGCAATGAATGTGGTCTTGTCAGAAATCTTTCTTTCCTGAATACTCTACTTGGAGATATGTGATATTGCTGTATGCTTAATTCCTTTGCTTTTATAATTTGTGTAGGTCCGAGTTTACTGCCTCAAAGGCCTTTCTGATGGGACAAAGTTCCATTTTGTCACAGAAACAAAATGTGAAGGTGATTTATAGATTTCTGTCACCATCAAACTGCTCTCTTCCTTTGGCTTTTTACAGAAATGTAAATGAGCTAGGCCATAGATATTGGCCTTTTCTTAACTTGAAATTGGCTTTTTTTTAATGCCCAGACGTATGTGGGTGGGTGGGGGTGAAGGCAAAAAAATGATTAGTAACATTATTGAAGAGCTAGATGGATGATGGAAGCTCTGTTAGCTTGAGAACATATGCAGACCATATATTTGAGCTCCGTGCACTCCTACAGACAGTGTTGTTTTTCCTTGCTTTTCTTAAAAATTATTGTTTTGAAATCCGTCAGGATTCCAAGTAAATTGTTATTAGTGAGTTGCGGTTATTCAGGTTTTGCAGAACATTAGTTTTTGAATCGCCGTCAGCTTCTAGATTTATATTGTTGAATTTTATTCACAGTCCACGACTTACCCCAAGGGAAAGGGCCTCAAGCTATGGCTGCTTTTAGTCTTCTCAGTTCCCCAGTACAGGCGTTATCATTTGCAAACTCTGGAACCAAGCTTGCCGTTGGATATTTTGGTGGTCATGTGGGTATCATCGGACAACTTGTTGATCATATATCCTTTTTTGTTGCTTAGTTTGTAGTAGTTAGAACTGTCCGATTTCTCAGTAAATCCTGGATCATTTGCCTTGCCAGGTTGCCGTCTGTGATATGACTTCACTGGCGGTTTTGTTCTTAATTGATGGTGTTCCTTCCTCTAGCTCTCCAATTATTTCAATAGCTTGGAAAGATCATTCATTTATTCATACTGCCGTGAATAGTCCAAAGCAACCAAATACAGCTACAGGCAATTCTCTAGAAGAAATAATATATGTCATGTCCCAGAATGGAAAGGTTAATGTAATTGACAGTGTTACTGGTAAAATGATCTGTAATCGGCCATTACACGTAAAGGAATCAACAGCAATTTCAATGTATGTTATAGGCAAGTACAAGTTTCATCAACAACACTTTTATATTATCTCTTTTGTTGCTGTTAGCATTGTATCAATGGAAAGCCTGAAAGATTTTTGTGCTCCAGATGATAGCCATTCAAGCCCTGACGTGCCAGATGACAAGCAGCTGGAGGAGCCCTTGAAGGATACTGCTAATACCAATGAGCCTGCGCCAGACAGTAATCTAACCAGGGTAAATCCAGCTGAGGTTGAAGTTTCTTTAACGGAAACCACATGCTCAGATTCTTTGATGGATCCATTACTTCTGCTCTGCTGTGAGAATTCGTTGCGTTTATTCTCTGAGAAATCTTTGATCCAGGTCCTTCACCCATTTTCCATACCCATCTATTACTAAGTTGCAATTCTTTAGGAAAGCTACTTTGATATTTAATTATCTGTAATATATTCCTACAGGGAAATAAGAAACCTACTCGTAAAGTGAAACTTTCTAAGCCTTGCTGTTGGGCTACAACTTTAAAGAAAGATGACAAAATTTGTGGGCTGCTATTGTTGCTTCAGACCGGAGCATTTGAAATCAGGTGGAATCACGATATTTATTTATTTTTCTTTAAGATAGCTTTTAGGAGGATTATTAAATTGATTATGCTTATTGTCTCTTGGACAGGTCGTTTCCAAACTTGGAATTGGTAGAGGAAAGCTCCTTATTGTCCATTTTAAGATGGAATTATAAAGTTAATATGGACAGAACTATGTGTTCTGATGATATTGGAAATATTGCACTGGTATAGTTGAGTTTAGAACTTGCAGATTGTCTAGGATCCTTTTTTTCCAGCGCAAATTAATGATTTAGTGATCCTTAAAAATTGATTCCCTCGCAGTGAGTTTCTCCAGAAGTAAAGCCTCTCAATTTATTTCTGTGAAGTTTTTTAGCCCTTACTCAAACAACAAGCAAGGATCACCTGTAGAAGTTAACAGTGTAGCATAAACAAGCACGCATATAGTCATTAATTGGTGATATGAACTTTCCCAGATGTATTACATCCCAAAACAAATTTGGCTGCTTTTACAAAAGCCATCTAACCCTCTTGATGCCTTTTTGGTTTATAGAAGTAGCCGAAAAAGATGTCAATTAGGGATATAGGAACCCTGGGCCAAGTTTATATAATCAATTAATTGCCGTGTCAGGTCCCATCAGTGGCAAGCTTGGTGTGTGGCTGTGGCTTTGCTTAATAGAGAGGTCACCTTGATTGGGAGAAAAGGACTAAAACATTAATTTGCTTTTTCCCCCTTCAACCACTTCAGATAAGATAGGGCATTTCAGATTTTTGTCAAATAGATATTTACTTGGGCATCTCATGTTGACAACTTGCAGGCAAACGGTTCTGAGTTGACCTTCATCTCATTATTAGATGGTGAAAATGAATTCAGGTATCTTGGTTATTCTGTGATGAAGAGACAAAAGTGTAGACTTCTGATTCAAAGTAGAATGAGCAATACTCTTGTTTTATAGGAGTCTGGAGAATCTGCCTTGTCTTCATGATAAAGTTCTTGCAGCTGCAGCAGATGCTGCCTTCAGATTCTCTTCAAATCAGAAGAAAAAGCAGGTTTCAGTTGTTCGGCCCTTTTCCCCATTTTCTGGAAATATTTGCCATTATCATAATTCCTAAGCTACTTCTCTGTGTGTGTGTGTTTTTTTTTTTTTTGGGGTAAATTTCCTGAGGTGCTGTTGTTACAATATTAAGGAAGCTTATTTATGTTGGCACAGGGCATCGCACCAGGGATTCTAGGTGGTATTGTCAAAGGATTTAAAGGAGGAAAAAACACCCAAACAGATTCTACTGCACTTTCAACCCTCAATTTTGCACGTTTGGAGAGCTTATTTTTGAAGCTGCCATCTTCGGATTCACCGAATACTGTCTCAGATAACGAAGTGGAGCTTAATATAGGTCTCCTGCCAAATCGCCTCTGCACAATGTTCATTCGTCTTTTTAAAATACTTCAACACCTTAGTTGTGGCCAAAAAAGAACGAAATTTCACATGATGTTCTGTTTTGGCAGATGACATTGAGATAGATGAGCCCCTGACTGAGGGCTCCACTTCATCAATTGATGTTAGAAGCAAACAGAAAGGTATATCAATTGTGTCTTGCTTTTATGAATTGTACCAAGATCATTGACTGTTTTGTCTTTTTGCCTGCAGATAATTTGACAGATAGGGATAAGTTATTACAAGGAGGGACTAATGATGATGTAAAGCCGAGAATGAGAACACCAGAAGAAATTAGAGCTACTTATAGAAAAGCCGGGGTAATGAATAACGATGACAAGCTATCTAACCTCTCTCCTCTGTCATGATAAATCATTTTCAGCAAATTAAATTTTGATATATTTCATTTTTTAATAGAAGAAAATATATGTTTCATTTGTTGACTAATTTCAGGATGCTTCTTCTGCTGCTTCCCAAGCAAGAAACAAGCTTATGGAGAGGCAGGAAAAATTGGAGGTACAGATTTATCTGCATTTTGAGCTTCGTGGCTTGCTGATGAGCACATTTTGCTTTCACTTAAACATGTCATGGTATCGACTTGACAGCAAAACCCAGAAACTTATCTTTGATCTATCATGTCACCTTAGCATCATTTTTCAAACGAGTTATATTTCAGTGCGCTTTCTTTTTCAATACAAACGTTTAAAACAAGAATGAAGAGAATATGATTAGTTCTAGGCAAGAGTTGTGTACAATCTTGGAATTTTCAGGGAAGGCACCCTTTGGATTTCTGACATTTATGATCTCAAAGTAGTATTATCGTTGCTTCAGAAATGGAAGAAATTATGAACTAAGCTTTTGCTGGTGTATCTAATTCAGAGAATGAGCCAACGAACTGCAGAACTAGAAAGTGGAGCTGAGAACTTTGCATCATTGGCAAATGAGCTTGTGAAGACAATGGAAAGGCGAAAATGGTGGCAAATTTGAACTTTGATCGTCTCCCCAAAGCATTGCATATATATATATATATGTATATGTATATATATTGTTCTGTACATTATTATATATGTACGCATATCATAACATTTCAGTTTTTTACTAGCAATAGCCAAAGATGAAGTAAAGCAGCATGTAATTTCCCTGTATGACGTGACAAATGAGCGGGTGGTTATTGTTTTTAGAGATTTGACATGTTGAAGGGAGAAGTGTTATTGCAAGATATACTACTTTGAGATTTGAAATTGTTTTTATGGCAAGTGTTATTTCGATTTTTGACAATGCAAGATGCTTTTGGCAAGTACGTGTTGGTTTCAATCTTCTAACTGTTACATAATCATTGTCTTTCGGCCCAAAATATGGGGTCACAAAACTAGTAAAAATTAGTTCCTCGTTAAAATGGTCTTAAAAATAAATAATATTTTTATTTTTACTCCTGATTAATATTACCTCTTGATCTTAATATAAGACCTTGTTTGACTTTTATTTTAGTCCTAAATATGAGATCTCAATTCATTTTGTCTTTTATATTTATGCATTCTTTTCTAAGGTAGTCTTTTTAATAATAATATTTCTAGCCAATACACTTAATTAGCAAAGATATTTTAAGAAAAACAATACATATTTATTATAAATAACTAACTTAATTTTTTTCTTTAATCTACTTAAATTAGTCAACTAGTTCTTATATTCAGGATCAAAGTTAGTATTACCAATAAAAAAATTATCCTCTTTGGTGGTGATATTTTTTTTTTTAGATTAAAGAAACAGCAAGGAATATTCAATGGTCTATATTTCTTATTCAGAATGTTCCTATGAGATATATTTACGAAGAAAACTCTAAATATTTACCATGATACCTCTAAAATATACAAGAAATGTTTCTAACGAATTATCTAGATTCAACTGGTGTTACCTTCAAAGTTTTGAAGATGTCTCAAGTCTTTAAGAATTCTCTTTAATATTCCTAGGGCTTCTATAAAATATTTAACCTTCAATGATCTTTAGGTCCTTGATTGCCATTTTTTACGTCCAATCATCAAAAGTTGACTTTTTTTAAATAGTTATTTTTGTAAAAGTTAATTGAAGATTTAATTTGGCCCTAAACATGAAACATTAATTTACTTTGTCTCTAATATTTAACTTTTTTTTTTTATTAAGTATCCCTACAGTGATTGTGCATGTTAAAAAGTTACGATTAAGAGATAATGCAAATATGCATATTAATAAGGACATTTTAGGAATCATAATATCTATTTATTATAAATAACTAACTTAATTAATTTTTTTATATTTATAAATTAGTTATATAGCTCTTGTATTAAGGACCGGATGTAGTATTATCATGTTTAAATACATGGGAATCATAGATTATCCTTTATATAACATGTGACCGATTTTAATCAACAAGTGCCCGTTTAAGGTAAAAATATAATGCGAGACAATTCACATCTATAAATTTATATATTATTAATCCTTTTAAGAGAAAAACTTTCAATAAGAAAATATTATCAATTTACAAATCTTAAGATTTCTATACTCAATTATATTTATTTTGTACATGTTGAAAACAACAATCATATCAGGCCAAAAAATAACAATCACATGTTTAAAAAAAAAAAAAAGGAATGCATTGCCCCGTTGGTTCAAGGTCCTCCCATTATACTCTCCTAAATATAATTAAAAAAAAATATAGACATGTGAAGTGGAAAAAGAAACTTCAATTTCAATTAAAGAAGAGAGTATAAAGCAATCGAACTGCCATTGATTAAAAAAAATAATTTTTAATTGGTGGATAATGTTTCTAATAGTTATAGTAAATTAGTAAGTCGATAGGTTATAACTGATAAGAAAATGTGAAAAATGAGGAATATCAAAATAAATACCCAGACACGTGGGACACGTTTCCGACCACACATAATTTACCTAACCAGGGGCCCTCATATGTACGGCATATCCTTATGTTTTTTAATTATTAATTTATTGCATCAATTTAATCCTTTGATGTCCATTTTATTTATTGATTCAATCTTCCATATTACTAGTTCCACTTCTTAATATAAGAGCAAATTTAATTTTTAATCTGATCCTAAATATAAGACTCATGATCTAATTTTTCTCTCATATTCATCCTTTTTTTTATAACCGTTGTAGTAATTGTACATGTTAAAAATTCTATTAAATGATAGTTCTAACTAATACACATAATTTATAATGATATTTTAAAAAATACAACACCTATTTATTACAAATAATTAACTTAATAAACTTTCTCAGTTTACTCAAATTACCAAGGTTACCATAATGATGTGCATGAAACGCACATGCAACTCGTCCAAACCATTTAATAGTTTAACTATATTAGAAATTTATTGCAATATTCATTTCTAAAATCAATAAATTTACTAATAAATACTCCCCTATCTTATATATAAGCTTCACTTTTAGAAAATAGTCTGGTCCAAAATATAAGCTTTATTTTTGAGTTTATCTGAGCAATTGTTACCTTTTTTTTTCTTATTTTGTTCTTAATTGACTATATTTAATATTTCATCTCTCTCATTATTTTTACTCCATATATTTTTTTATTATTATTTTTCATTTATTGCCTCTCTCATTTACTCTATTAATAAAAAAGGGTAAGTTTTAAAAAAAATACATTTCTAACATAATTATTATTTTAAACTAATTTTAAATACTAATTTGTTAAATGTGATTTGGTTATTTAAAGCTTATAGATAAGACATTAAAAGAAAACTCATTTATGTGTCGCCAACGGGGGTGTAACTACTAAAAATTTTCATAAAAATTTTCATAAGAAGTGAATATGAAGTTCCAATGTGCAAAAAATGACAAAATAACAACAAGAATTATTCTACTCACTTATTATTGAGATTTCTTGTTGATTATATTCTTTTCTCAAGATCTAGTAAAAATTTTCTCATAAAAGCATGACATGTATTGGTTTTTGCCAAATTTTTTTAACATGTTGAAGATGATTCTACTATGTAAGAATTGAGATGGGGATGGAGGGCTATCAGGCTTGGATGCATTATTCTTGCAAAAGAATTGATTCATCTACTTGCAATTTCAAACAAGTTGTCTTACTTTACGAGGAGGTTTCTTTATTTTGTTTTTAATTTAGTAATTTATTTAATTTAAAAAGAATCTCATAAAAAGAAGTTTGAAATTACAAAATCTCAAATAAAATTTTTTTATAAAAATATATTATAATTTACATGTCTAGTATTATCAAAATATATTAAAATATTGTTACTAAATCTGACTTGAGATTTAGTAATTTTAAATTTTTTTTGTAATATTCTCCCTTTATTTTATTTATTTTATTTTATGGTGTATGAGGGTATCGATGAATTTTTGTGTATTGTATTTGAAATGTCAAAATGAATGAGCTGGCAACAGTACGGAATGTGTAGATTGAGAAGGACCTCCCTCTAGGCTTTTTTTGGGGCCTGAACGTCTCTTCAGCTGGCAACTTACAATAACATCGCATTTGTGTCTCTTTCTATCTTTTCAGTTTTTGTTTGCCGTTTGAAATTTTGCAAACTGAGAAAAGCCGCAGGCTCCACCTTTTCTCAAATTTTTCATAATCCACTTTAAAAAGTGTTTAGTCATATAATCCGGAAAAATTAAGTCATATAATCTCTTCTAGCTTGATCTTCACTGTACTATCTAATAAATTTAATTTAGAATCAGATATTTCAAAATCTAAAAGTAGAAATTTCTTATATCAAAATTTAAAAAAATTATTTCAAAATCACTTTAAATCTCTAATAACTTATATATAGAGAGAAAAAAATTAAAATAATCACATAGTTGGGTCTGGGAGACATAATTTATAGTTTATATCATAACACTTAAGCCTTTCATTAAAAAAAAAAGTGTAAAATTAGTCTCGAGTCTAAAATAACTTAAAAATACTGAGTTATCAACAAAAAAAAAAAACAAGAACTCTCTTTTATAGTGAAGCCAGAAGCCATAATTTATAGTTTATATTGTAACACTTAAGTTTTCAGCTAAAAGAACACTAAGATTAGTTTCGGGCTCAAAATAACTTAATTATTTTTAAAAAAATAAAAGCAGACCAGAATAGTGAAGTACTTCCTGTAATGCTCAAAATGATTATTGAACAACTCGAACTATCTCAATCAAACTAGGATGTTTGAATAAGATCAAAACTATGGTTTCAGAAATGTTTTTACGGTATATAAAATAAATATATGGATAAGTTTATCTCGATTTACGAAAAAATACTTTTGAAAAGTGTTTATTGAATTACCCAAAACTAAAACATTTTTTTTGAAATAAAATTGGATGAGTCATGATATTGTACTTATAAATAATGTATCTTGCTCTATGTTGGTGTAAGAGCACTCTATAGCAAAAGAAACATATGAAAAGCGCATTAAATTCCTTAACACTCGCAGGATGGGAAGTCAAGTAACAGTCTTGGTATAAAATAATTGTCACCTTAGCTTTCCAAGATACAGCACAATAATTTTTTTTAAAACAATTTTATTATTCAATATTTTATTAGTAGAATGATGATTTGGCGTGTTACGTATGCTTCTTTCTTTATTATTCTCTTCCAATTATACCAATGGTTTGTTTCTTTTCAAATGTAGTCCAAAGTTGACTAGTAGAGATTCATCGTTTTCAAATGAATTTCAATTTCACCCAAATTCAAATTAACCCAAGATAGTAAATATTAAATTATTCTTTCTAATATATTAAATGATTCTTACTCAAAAATATCACCATCTTTTCATTAAAATAATTAATTCCAAGAGTTGAGTCATCAGAATCCAGAAAAATTGAGAACTCTTCTAATTAAGAAAACGAACAAACAATATTTATCATTACCAGAAAAACTGAAGAATTGCACCAAACCAGTTTTGTTTGTTATTTTTAGGCTAAATTTTAAAGATAGATAATTAATTCATAAACATTAAAAAAATTAATTAATTTAATTATTTGTAAGGAAAATTTTGAGTAGATTTTTCTAAAAAATTTTAATTAATCATTTGTATTAAAATTACTCATTTGATGAAAAACCATGTAAATTTCTGGCTAAAAAAAACCACGTAAATATGTGTGATCAATAAAAAAAAAGTTTTGAATATATATTTGAGGGTAAAGCGGAGTGGAATGAGGCCTCTACTCACATTATTTTTAGATTAGAGGGAGTAATAATTATTTATTTTTATTTCATATATTAAACGAACTATGTTGTGTAAATTTAAATTCTTCTTAAATCACGAGGTAAAAATGATAATTGAGACAGAAACATTTGTTTTAATTCATTTATTAAATGACCCTAGAACTAGAAGGATATACTTCATGAAAAATCATGATTGTGGAAACTTTTTTAATATCTGGAAAACTATTTGCCAACTTTTTAAATAAGATCAAAGTACCGTTGCAGAAACTTCCTAAATTTAATTCAATAAGACTTGTAAATTCATCATCAAATTGGGTACCGAAGGAAAGTAATGATAATAAATTATATTTAAATTTAAAGAATAAAAATATTAATTAAGAGCACAATAATCAACTCCCAGAGCATCCAATAAATTAAGAAGTTTTCATTTTTCAATTTATTCCATCCATCCATGATTAATTTATATTAAGTGTCAGTTAAATAAAGAATTAAGAGAAACACATTGAAACGTTACTCCTCACCATTGATTTCTAATTGTTACAGTGTGACTCTCAATATCATTTTCTTAGAAAAAGACAGGTTTTGAAAGAGAGAAAAAAAGCATTTATTATTTACCTTTAATTAATTCAACAAATTTAAATGATCGCAATGAAGAAAATAAAATTTAGATCACACTGTGCTCGTAAAAAAAAAAAAAAGATCATTTCCCACTTTGTGGTGGCCAAGGAAAATCTACAACCACACTGCCTTTTCTATCCCATTTAATTCATGCTATAATTAAAATTTCAAATATGTCAGTCACTATTACAAGCAAACAAGTTCTCAGCTGCCATTTTTTCTCTATGTTTTAATAAATGTTACTGTAAATAAAAAGTTTGAACAATTTCAACCATCTCATTTTTCTTCAAAATTACGTGTTAAGAACCAACCACAATTCGGTGGCATATTGCTTGCTTGGTAGATATTACTATTAGTGGCTTTTACAAAATAGAAATTTGGATTGGAAAACTAATAAACTTCCATAGAAGGTTTATCCCCTATTTGTGAATATGTACATCTTTTGATTAAGTACATCCATCGGGAATAAATGGCTTTACTTACTTAAAAAAATTAATTGCGTAATAAAATAAAATATGTAACTTTTAAATATTTTATTAAATATGCACTTAATATGTATGGATGAAATTGGCTTCATTTTTTTTTAATTTTTTACTCTATACATGTCTGTTTCAAAAAAAAAATTTATGTTTTGGACCAAATGAAAATCATTTTGTTGTTGTACGATGAAATATAAATTAACTTGATTCAAAGCTCAGATTAGCTTGATTGCATATGTGTTATCACACCAAGATTAAAATCATAATCTCATACTGCAAAACTGACTTTTATTCCAATTACATTTTGCAAATTGAAATTAGAGTAAAAACTAATTAACATAATATCATTTATGTTTGAATACGTTTATGTGAATAAAGACTCAATTTAAGAAGCAAAATTTTATTTGGATGATATAATCAAATATGAAAAATTATCAAAAAGCTGCTAATTGATATGGTAAGCTGTCTCATCCTCGTAAGGAGGAGAATGCAGGTTCGAATATTGGGAAATGTATTTGTTAAGAAGGTTTTAACCTTAATACTCTTGGCCCAATAAAAATTAATTTCAAGTCTAAAGTGATTTGATGATACTTTGAGTTATATAAAATATATATAATTGATATCCTTTCTATTTTGCATAAGATAATTTGTCGTCTACATGTATAAAATACTCACATGTAGTTAACCAATTTTTATGCTATAGGGCTGCTAAAAGCTAGGGGTAAACATAGATTGGATCTGGCTAGTAGTTCATGTTCCCATCTCCTAATATACTTTTCCGATCATTAATATAAAACCTATTTAATTAATTTAATTAGATTAAGAAAGTGAGGTAACTTAGTTAATTATAAGAAATATAAAAAATATGACATATTTTTCTCAAAACATCATAATCATTTTTCTTAATATCTTTCCTCTTTCTTCTACTTGATTATAGTTGAGAGAGTATCCATAAGGCTAATTTAAAAAAAAATTGATAAATGTGAGAAATAGATCTCATATTTATGACCAAAATCAACTCAACAATTATGTCCTATATTAAGGATCGGAGGAGTATTTAACAAGGCTTAATATTGTTTTTAACACCTAAAATTTGGGTCCATTTTAGTTTTGATCCTTTAAATTTCAAACATGTGATTTTAGTTCATAAAATGTAATCTGTCTCAAAGCATTAATTTCTAAACATGCAACAGTGTCAAGAGATGTTGAAGTGTCATGAATGACATTAAAAGTAGTGGTGATATGAACTCATCAAATAACATCTAATTGTATATTGTATGGATGAAAAAAGGATTAAGATATAATTTTGACTCTGATATTATTTTTCATATATAATTTTGCCCTTAATCTTCAGTGGTGCAATTTTGCCCCTAATCTTATTTTTAGGATAATTTTGCCCCCAAGGTCAAAATTGCATCCAAAAAAGGATTTAGAGTAAAAAATGAACCATTAAGAAGATCAAAAGCAAAATTACACCTGAAAAATAAGATTAGGATTAAAATTACATCTTAACCCTTAAAAAAAAACAGGTCGTCAAAATGCAACATAGATAACAATTATATAGATGGGTTGAGTTCTTAAAATACAGTATAGCAAGCAGCTCCTACAAACAAACAACGAGGAAGAAAAACCAAAGTGATAAAAAACCGCATTTTGAAAATCTGTTCTTTTTTTCTCCTTCCGTTATTCACATAAAATCTAACTAGGTGCTATTTGTTGAGTTCAAATCACCATCCTAACACTGTTCATCATACTTTAGCATATTCAAACATCATTATACCTCTAGAAACTAACGTTTAAAATGGATTAAATTTTAAGGACTAAAATCATGAGCTTAAAATTGAGGACCAAAACTAAAATAGACTCAAATTTCAAGACAAAAAAAAATTATATTAACCCATTAAACAATGTAATATTATAATTATACTAGAGGATATTATATTTATAACTAATGGTAGTATGTAGGAATCTAAATTTTTAAAAACTAACAGGAATATTTTAGTTAATAATAAGTTATCTCAATCACAGCAGCACTTGTCACATTTAGAATTTAGATGAATTGTCATTTTTAAGCTTAACGTGCATATGTGTATATGTGGGTGTGTGTTTTAATGGTATAAAATAAAAAATCAGAAAATTTTAATAAAAATATTAATTTTTCAACTGAAAGGTTTCAGCTCTCCATTTTGCTCAGGGGCATTAAGTCACCCAAGTAATCAAAATAAATAATTAAATATGCAGTCATGTGTGTCACATTTACGTTCGCGTTCGTCAAAGGTTTGCCGACCCATTAATTTTATATTAGCATCTATACGTCGCCTCGTCGCCCAACCAACCGGGGGCATTCCGACCTCATATGCTTCCTCTTTTTTTTTTTTTTTCATTCTTAATTTATTTCTTATATCGTTTTAATCATTTATTTCTCATTTTATTTATATTTTTAATTTAGTACTATACTTTTTTTTATTAAATCTTTTAAATTTTCTTTGTTTGTTCAATTAGCCTTATATTTTTACTCTGTTGTTGCTATTAGTCTTGGGAAAGCTATCAAATTAAAAATTAAGTGTAGATACATGCTAAATCATTTTCCCTTATTTTTAAATTAAATCTTTCATATATCATAAAAAAATTATAATAGTAAACCAAATAAAAAAATATTATAATAATGTGTACCGTATAACCTGCTATGTGAGCATATGACATACATGCAACTTAGGAAAACCACGTGTCGATTTAAGATAATTATGGTTCAAGAATTTATTTATTTTACATTATTAAAAAAAATCTAGTTGTTAAAGGATCAAAGTGTCCAATTGGGGCTAATCCAACGTTCAATTGTTCCGATCACGTCAGTATTTTGAAATAAATTTTATTTATGAACACAAATAATAATTATTTCCATTTAAAAGGATTCCAAAGAAAATTAATATTGTGATAAAAAAATTATTTTTATTTCCATTGAATAATAGTTACAAATTAGATGTTATAACCTTAGAGATATAAAACCAAACTAAACCACAGGCTGCCTTGTTCAATCCAGGATCTCCTCTATATCAGCTCTCGAGTTAATTACTAATCCATCCTGTCTGATCCATGCATACTTCTAGTGTTCGATATGTTATTTGTTAATATTTTAGAAATAAAACAAAAATAAACTTAGAAGTTAAAATGCCTAACTGAATAGGTTTTTATTATAAGTTTCAAATAATCTAAAGTTAAAATTAGTTAAAAATAATAAATAGGTCAAAAATATACTTTTATTTTCAAATATATCCTGATAATAAATAAGAAAAAAATATAAAAAATACGTGAAAAAATGTGATAAGAGAAATTATGATAAAAAAGAGAGAATAAATAATTAAAGATAAAATATGAAAAGTACATTAAATATTAAGACAAATACTAAATTAAAACCTATAAAATAAACTATATATCAACAAAAATTTGTAGCTTATAAGTATAAGCAAAAGAAAGTATTACCTCCGATCTTTAATATAAGACTTTGTTTGACTTTTATTTTGATATTAAATATAAGACTTCAATCCATTTTGTCTCTTATATTTATATATATTTTTTCCAAGGTAATCCTTCTAACAATAATAGTTCTAGCCAATACATTTGATTAGTAAGAATATTTTAAGAAAAACAACACCTATTTATTATAAATAACTAGCTTAACTTTTTTTTAATCTCTCAAATTAATTAACTAATCTTATAATTATAATTAGGTTAGAGTACTTAGAAAAGAGTCCTCTTGCATGATAGGTCAAAAACCAGGCAAGGCGCAGAACCGACTGCCATAATGGAGCAAGTTCGATCGCACGCCCCTGGTTCAATCTCACACACGCAACATGACCCAATTGCGCCGGCCTCAGAAATCAGAAGCCACAATCTTCCATAATCCTCTCTCTTTACTTCTATATATATTAGGATATTATAATGGGCTTCGTTGCTTCACCTTAACCACAAGAGGGAAGAGACCCCCGTTCTCTAAACCCTGATAACCACTTGCAAGCAGTGTCAGAGAAGAGGCTGCCTTTATTGTGCAGAGAGAAACAGAGATTCCCAGAAAAATTTTTGAGGGATAAACGTTATCCCCAATCGCTCCATTGAATTCCAGTTACTTTTATTTGCTGTATTTTGTGTGCTAGATATTTCGTTTCCCATCGCTTTTTCCATTTGTTTACTGTCGCTTTCTCTTTTTCATTTTCTTCCTCTCGTGACATCCATTCTTTTCCTCCTACCTATCTTCTTCTCCTCCCTAGAGTCCAGGAACCCAACCTCCTGGTCCACCAAGCTTCATCTGGGTCTCCCATGGCAGGTTGGGTTCTATCAGAATGCGGCTTAAAGCCTCTTCCTCTAAAATGTCCTAGACCCAGAATCGGAACTTCTCCGTACAATCCTCCATCGAGGTTTCGAATTCTTAACGCAAACCAATCCAAGGGTAAAATAGATCTGAAGTTTTCTCCTTCCGGTTTTCCTGGCCCGAGAAGTTGGGAGCCGAGGGTAAGCGCTTCTATAAGTGTTCTCCCTGTGGAAGAAGAAGAGGAAGAAGTGATAGTCACTGAGGTTAATGAGTTCGATCCCGGTGCTCCACCACCTTTCAAGTTATCTGATATCAGAGAAGCCATTCCAAAGCATTGCTGGGTGAAGAATCCATGGAGGTCAATGAGCTATGTCGTGAGGGACGTTGTTGTCGTTTTTGGATTGGCGGCGGCGGCTGCTTATTTGAACAACTGGATCGTTTGGCCTTTGTATTGGGCTGCTCAGGGAACTATGTTCTGGGCTCTGTTTGTTCTTGGCCATGATTGGTAACAGTCTTGTGCTTTTTCTATCATTCATCTGTTCATTCTGACCTCATTTAGATTCTGAAATTGATTGATGGTTGATCAATTATGTCATTACTGTTCTTATTCGCTTGGATGTTTTAGTGGTCATGGAAGCTTTTCAAATAATCATAAGCTGAACAGTGTGGTTGGGCATCTTTTGCATTCTTCCATTCTAGTGCCTTATCACGGATGGTATGCTCTTGAAGGAACAGCCTTTAATGTCGTCTTTTTTACATATTACCTTCTGACTTTGGAACTGATATTCTGCTGATAATATATACACAGGAGAATCAGTCACAGGACTCATCATCAAAACCATGGCCATGTAGAAAATGATGAATCTTGGCACCCGGTGAGCCAATAATTCTTCTTCTAGTTCTCATTTGGACTTGTTATCATTAGTTACAGTATCTAATCTAAAGCTCAAATGTCAATTTTGCAGTTGCCTGAGAAGATTTACAGTAACTTGGACTTTATCACTCGGATCTTGAGATTTACAGCGCCATTTCCAATGCTTGCATACCCTTTCTACCTTGTGAGTTTCTCTGCCTGAAAGCTTTTGGTTCTGGTTTGTCCCTTTGACGTGCAGTCTTGAAGCAACTTTTTCGTAAAGAAGAATGAAATTGGAACTCTTGCTGCCATTATATCTAGAGTACCAAACGAATTGACCTGGGTTTTCATCTTTGAATTCAGTGGAGTAGGAGTCCTGGGAAGAGTGGTTCTCACTTTCACCCAAACAGCGACTTGTTCGTCCCAAGTGAAAGAAAAGATGTCATTACTTCAACAGCTTGTTGGACAGCAATGGCTGCTTTGCTAGTATCATTGGGCTTTGTGATGGGTCCAATTCAATTGCTTAAGCTTTATGGCATTCCATATTGGGTAATTCATTTCTATCCCTTCATTGCTAACCATGAATCATTTTTCCTTTATGGCCTTCTTCTATCTATCTTCTTGAGTATGAACAATGTCCTGATTTGATTATGCTTGGATTTTGAAGATCTTTGTCATGTGGTTGGATTTTGTAACTTACTTGCATCACCATGGCCATGAAGACAAATTACCCTGGTATCGAGGAAAGGTACCAAACATAAACTTTTCTATCCCTTTTCTCTCTTCTTCCTGGTTTTGTCATTTTTCTGGGAAAATGCTGTTCTATTTGTTCTCTCCATCTTATTTAGTTCAGCCAAAAGGAAGTTCTTTACAATTTTTGATTTGTTAAAACAGGAATGGAGTTACATGAGAGGGGGACTCACAACACTGGACCGTGACTATGGATGGATTAACAACATCCACCATGACATTGGAACTCATGTCATTCATCATCTCTTTCCTCAAATCCCTCATTATCACTTAATTGAAGCAGTGAGTACCAACCCCTCTTCACATGAACTTGTGTTTGCTCTAGTGTTCCATAGTCATGAACTCATCAAGTTGTAAAAGTATATTCACTTGGTCACAATTTTTTTTTTTTTAACTTGTAGACTGAGGCAGCGAAGCCTGTGCTTGGAAAATACTACAGAGAGCCAAAGAAATCAAGTCCTTTACCGTTCCACCTTTTAGGAGAGTTGATAAGGAGTTTGAAGAAGGACCATTATGTTAGTGACCATGGGGATGTGGTGTATTACCAGACAGATCCTAAACTCAGTGGCTCTTCTTCTAAATCAAATTAAAACCACAAAAGACCTATCTGATTGATTCAACAGAGGCCATACATCTTTCTGTCATGAGTTTAACTCTGAGGATTGTTTTGGGCTGTGCTTGAGCCTGTGCTCTCATGGAGTTTCTGCAGAACCTGTTTTGGAGTTCAGAGTGAGTTTCTCATTAGGTGGCTCACCATTTTGATTGTAAATGCTGATATTGAAGAAAGTGAACTCTTTTAGAAAGTGCAAGAGTTCATACATTGATTATTTACCCAAAAATAATATGGTGTAATTTATCAAATTTCTTGCATGAAATTGTCAATATTCTTTCAGATGGGACTAAATTAAATGGTCATTTCCCCACTGGTCAATTTAATTATATATATATGTATATATTTTGTTTTCTCACAGTGGATCTTAATTTCTGCAGTATATCCCCGGATGGTTGTGTAAAATTTGGCATGAGTTGATAACATTATCTTTGGCGCAGCATTTTTTTTTCTAAAATAGATTAGATAATCTCGTTATTTTATTTTAGCAGACGGGGGAATAAAATCTTCATTAAATTAATTAATGCACTTTTTCAAACTTCAGTAGCACAATTGAAGAATAAAATCTTGATCTAATTAAAATGATGGTATTCAGATTGACTTACGTGTAGATTATATTTTTAACTGAGCACTTAGGGAAACAATCCGTATCAACATATTCCCTAACATGGGATTTGAAATGACCTTCAAATAATTTTTTTTCAAAATCATTATATTTCTGGCCAATCATCATCGTAATCCGCCGGTGGCCCGCAAACACAGAGGGATAGTGCAAAACATTTTATTGTGAGGAATTGATGTGACCTTATTAGGTGGGTAACTTTCATTGGTACGTGACCTGATATTGATATTTGAGATTATTTAGATTTCCCGCCTTTTTGGCTGGGCCCCGCTTTGGGAAAATTTGCCATCAAATTCTTGGATTATCTTCAATTACTCAATATGATTCGTGTAATAATTCATTTTCCACGTTTCTATGTCCATGAAAATCATGCAGTCACCTCCACCTCTGTGTCCAGAGATAGATAGTGATGAAGGGATTTAATTGTAATTTTGTGCTTTGAATAATACTCTTTCCGTTCCTTATTATAAGAGACAAATAACTAAATTACATTGATAAAAAAAACAGTTAAAATTAGTTGAGGACAATTAATGTGTAAAAAGTATAATGTTTTTTTCCAACAATATCCCCATTAATAAGGAGAGAGAGTATGAGAGAGAACAATTAAATTATTGAAAGAAAAAGAAGTGAGAGGGAGAGAGAGTATGAGTTAGAGACAAAATAAATAGAGATAAAATAAGAAATCAATACAAAAAAACAGAAACAACTTTTAAGTGTCTCTTATATATGGGAACATACCATAAGCATCAAATGTCTCTTATAATAAGAAACGACGGGAGTAATATCCAGATTTTCTTAAAAAAAAAAAAATCATGAAGCGTGTCAATTTTTTCCAAAACGGAAAGGGGCCTTCTTGGGCAGGTCTCATCTCCCATGCCTAAGGTAAACGATATAATTTTTTAATACAACCTCAAAAAATATTTTTTAAAAAAAAAAACTCTCAGTATGCTTTCTACCAAGTATGGTTTTATTTTCATTGTTGTATTACCCTGTGCTCTTACGGAAATATGTTGTATTCTAATATATTTTTTTTGTAATAAAATACTTTTCCGGTCCTAAATATAATATCTATTTTATAATTTTATAAAATAAATGTTATATTTATGATCAAATTGAATAACTATTAAAGACAAATCTTCAAACAAATTTAACAACCAGTGCTTCCAACAATTTCAATGCATGTGAACAGGCATAAGCGGCGTGTAAAATGTATATCCAGTCCAAAATATAGGGTAAAATTTATTAATTTATCTTTATTATATATTTATTGAGATATAAAGTTGTCAAATTTAACAAATTATTCTATCTCATCCTTAATATAAAAATTATTTAATTAATTTGTATAAATTGGAAAAAAAAACTAAATGAATTATTTAATTCTAAACATCACATGATCTTTTTAAATTATTTTATAACTTAGATAAATTAATTTAGAAAAAAATAATAAATTAAGACTTTATACTAGAGTCAAGGCTAGTCTATTTATGATGAAGACGTGAACAAATCAAGTGGGTGTCCTTGGGGTGGAGGGAGGCTAGTGGCCAAATAGCAATGTGCAGCGTTGAAAGAGAAGGCATGCGCGTGACCCATGTGGTTGTAAGTGTGAATAGTGTCGGGACACAATTGTACTTTTCCAACTTGAATCCACAGCCACAATCCACAAAAAGTTGTACAAGCCCAAACTAGGTTTGGTGTTTCCGCTTTTAAGCCACTCATTTCACGCCACGTCATCCTCTCTTTATCCTTGGGGGGGGGGGGGAACAAAACTAGGCTTGAGACTTGAGGGGAAGGGAAAATTATTAGCCACACTGTAAATTTTGATAATTTAAGTTTGTCTGTATTTTAGTTTTGATCTTTTTTTTAAATTATAAGTTTTGGTCCATTAATTTTTTTTAGTTTAAAATATTAGTCTCTGTAATCCAATAAAAAGTTGAAATATTTTGCCCATTAAAAAACCGAAACTCATGATTTGAAATTAGATGGGACTAATACCAAAATAAGGACAATTTGAGAAGAAGAAAAAATTATTAGCGACGCACATTGGATTAATACAAATTTTAATCATTTAAATTTGCTTTTATTTTTATTTTGATTCTTTATGTTTGTCCCCATTTTAATATTAGTCCCTTAAGTTTCAAACCATATATTTTGGTTCTCTGAGTTTCCTTTTATCTTGAAAGACCAAAACTAATAATTTGAAATTTGAAGGGTTAAAACCAAAATAAAAGAAAATTTAAAAGACTAAAGATTATATTAACCTATACACATTAAATAAATTTGGGTATCATGTAAGAAATTGCTTTACATTTAATAATTTTTTGTTTTGTCAACAAATTGGCCCACTATCAGCATATTTGGATGAGGTCCTAAGTTTATGCCAGTTGTCAATATAAATGTATAGATTGTATAAATAAAAAATAAACAAATTTTTTTTTTGTTTCCTTCAATCACAATTTGCAAAATAGGTAATTATAGTTATCAATTTCAACTTTCTTTACCGCCCTTGAATATGGAACAAATTTTGGCATTGGGCCTCATTGGACCTTATCCAAAAATTTTCCCTGCTAGTTGCGACACATTTTGGGCCTATCCTAGCCCAACGGACCCTACCTGCTACCACTACCTTCAAGGAACTCAAGTTGACCAAGTTTCTTGATCCAAGCAGAATATTTTCACTTTGGGCCCACTTAAAACTTATCTGTTCCGTTTTAGTCCCTGATTTTCCGGCTTTGAAGTTTAGAGGGTGTTTAGATGACATGAGAAGTGTTTCTAAAAAGTACTTTTTTACAAATCGAGATAAACTCTTCTATATATTTACTTTGTATACCGTAAAATTACTTCTGAAATCATGATTTGGTTTTCAGCTAAACACTCTCTTAAACACTTAACAGGACTTCAGTTCCTGCTAGCTCTCATGGAGCTTTACACTTTTTCGCACTGCATAATCATCTCAACCCAAGTTTTTGGAGAATCCATTTCTCTCAGCACTCCTTCAAGAAATGGAATTACTCCTCTGGTCCTTATTATAAGACCCTATTTGACTTTTTATTTGGTCCTAATTATAAGACCCCAATCCATTTTGTCTCTTATATTTATGCATTTTTTTCCAAGATAATCTTTCTAATAATGATAGTTTTAGCCAATATACTTAATTAGCAAGGATATTTTAGGAATGACAACACTTATTTATTATAAATAACCAACTTAACTTACTTCCTTAATCTCCTCAAATAAGTCAATTGGGTCTTATAATTAGGACCGGAGGAGTATATGCCTTGGCAAAGTCAACTTTCAAAACCTGCCCAACTCTCTGATCAAATCCGCTCTGATTCGGACCAGTATAACAATCCATAAAAACTTGAATACGATTACAACGCATCTTGGAAATGATTTTGTAGCTCACATGACATAAACTAATTGGCCGGAAGTCCATGAAAGATTGAGCACCTGGACATTTTGGAATCAGTATAATGGCATATTCATTTAGTTATTCCTTCACCAAGAAACCATTCTGTTGAAAATGAATCACCATATTACACACTTCGTTTTGAACCAGCTCCCAAGTATCCTGAGAAGACATCGAAAACCTATCTGAAGAAAGTTGGAATTAGTAGTTCCTTTTTAGTACTATCTCCTGTTCTTAATATAAGACTTTTTTTTTTTGTAAATATAAGACTCTAATCCACTTTGTCTCTCATATTTATTTATTTTTAAGATAGTCCTTCCAATAATAGTAGTTTTAGCTAATCAACTTAATTAGTAAGGATATTTTAAGAAAAATAACCTATTATTATAAATAACTAACTTAGTTTATTTAGGTTCAGATGTAGTAAATCTTTAGCCTTAGAGAAATTTTGCGGATATTACGCCATGTGGGTTCGAAAATGTGGTTGGAGATTAAAATGGTTGAAGCTGGTGACACAAGCATCGAAAGCCTTCAGAAGTGATAACTGCTGGATCAAGCAATCAGCCCAAGACAAGACTTGATCTGGACAAATATTAGTTTCAACTCTAATACCCTATTATGAATTTTATGGTCTTTTTTTTTTTTTTGTCATGACTCAGGCACTCATCAGTCATCAATCATCATACGCTCTATAAAGGATATAAACCCTAACCCCATAACTCCGCGCTCAATAAGACCTTAAGGTTATGTTTGGTAAGAAACATTGAAAATTAGGACTAGGGATTGAGATTCAGATTGAAAAAATCTATTAAAAAAGTATTTAGCATAAAAAATTACTTGTTATATGGGATTAGCCAAATCCATGTATGTGGGATTAGGAAATACCATTGAGGGAAGTGATATTCCCCAATCCCACCTTAATAGGTTTGGCTAATCTCACATAATAACTAATTACTCATGCTAAATATTATTTTAATGATTTTTTTCAATTGCAATCCCAATCCCTATTCTTTATTTTCAATACTTCCTACTAAACGGGACCTAAACGATATGCTTAGTGCCTGTTTGGATTCACTTAAATTGAGTTTAAAGTCAGCTTAAATTTTAAAATAAGCTGGGTTGCAATGTGGACCTGTTTGGATTCACTTTTTTCCAATTGAGCTTATGTGCCAAAAGCCTGATTCTACGCCCAATTGTCATAAGCTAGAGGAAGGAGCTTATGCTTAACCCAGAAGAGCTTGTGGCGGAAAAAAAAAAAAGAGAGATGGTCTGTTATCTTGTCAGAGTTATTCT